TATGTGGGTCGGCTCCCTGGCCAGGGATCGCACCCGGGCTGCAGCGGCTGCAGCAGCTCAGTAGTGCTGAGACTTTAATCCCTGCACCACCAGGGAGGCCCTGTGCTGGTATCTTTCTGTTGCACTATCACTACTACAAATCGTATGGTCCATCCTTACTCTTTTTTTTTTTTTTTAAGATTTATTTATTTATACATACAGAACTGGGGTACAGGCCAGAGGTGCAGGGGCAGTGAGAGGCCTCACGAGAGACAGAGCGGGGAGCAGAACAGGCAGACTGAAGTGGCACACTGCTGAGGCGAGCAGCGGGCGGGTCAGGAGAGGTCTGCCGGGCCATGTGGGTCACCTCCGGGGCAGGCGGGGATCGAACTCACACTAAAGCAGCTGCAGCCAGCTGGCAGTGCAATGTCCTAACCCTTTGAGCCGCCAGGGAGGGCTGGTCCATCCTTACTCTTTAGAACTCTTTGGCCTGATGTAAACTTGAATAATTATTTAAATATATGTCAGATCATGTCACACCTCTCACCCAACATCAGTTCCCATTTTACAAGGAACACCCCTCAGCAGCTTTCCAGCACTTCCAAGTCTCCTGGCATCACCCTGTCCTCTCTTACCCACCCCCAACACACACTCTAGCATCATCACCCCCCCCAACTTTCACTCTAGACCCCAGCTGTCTGCTAGACTTCCATCCTGGCTTTTTGCTTAAATATACCCTGTTTACTTTCTCCTCAGATCAGTTCCCTTTGCTGTAGTCTGGGGACCAGGAGAATCTGGTTATTAATGAGTGATTTGACGACGAGGAGAAATTATTTACTGTGGAAAAAATATGAACAGGGCTGTAAAATAATGGTAGTAGATATAGAGTTTTATTTGTTATTTTGTGTAGAAGAACTGGAGTACAGGCCACAGGTACGGGGGGTACTAGGCTTCCCCAGAGACAGAGCGGGGAGCAGGACAGGCTGAGGGGAGCAGCAGGCGGGCCAGGAGAGGTCTGCCGCGCCATGTGGGGCAACTCCCTGGCTGGGGACTGAATCCGAGCCATCATGATGGCAGTGCTGAGATGTAACCAACCCCTAGCCCACTAGGAGGTCCCCAATAAAAATACATTTAAAATGTAAAGCGTGAGCCCCAGAAGGACCACAGGAGGCGCAGAGAGACAAGCTAGGCACAGAGTGCAGCCTACTGTGGGCCTCAACAAGAGGCAGAGGAGCCAGACCCCACACCTCTAGCCAAGATCGAGATCTAGAGCCTTAGACGGCTCACCTTCCGCCACTGCACACCAGGCAGAGTGAGAAGAGGACAGACACAAATGCCCAGTGCTCCAACTACATGCTCATACACACATGTCAACAGAGAAGGAAATCTGCATGTGTAGGAAGTAAGGAACATCCCAACACAAGATGGAAAACAACATGAGGACTGACGGTCCAGGACAAGTATAAAGAAGACAGAAACAGAGAGCCTAACTGAGAAATAACTTCAAAACAATATTAAAAGTGTTCAATGAGATACTGTACGGCCTGCCAAAGGCAGACACGAGATCTCAGTGAAGAGAATTCTTTACTAAGGTGACTGAATATATTAAAAAAAAATACCAAAATAGATTCTGAATGAGTAGTAGTCAAACTTATATGGTGCTCTAAATAGAATGAAAATGGCGGAAGAAAGAATTTCAGCTGTAGAAAACTCAAACAAATTACACATCTCGGAGAGAGAGTGTCAAGACAGAAAATGAGCAAACTATACAAGAAACTCTAAGATCACATTCAATTAGAAGAGGAAACTGAACTACCAGAGAAGAAGAAAAAGAAATAGGACTAAGAGACCTCTTGCAAAATGTAATAATAATAAATGGAAATTCCCCCAAGCCACAGAAGATGTAAACACAGAAGTCCAGCAGAGAAAGTACCTAAAATTTTAGACACAAAAAGACCGACACCCAAGACACATCATTGGCAAATGATCAAAAATAAAAAAAATACATAAGGGCTTTTGAATTAAGATTTCCTCAAATTTCAGTCCAATCAAGAGTGGAAAAATATATTCACAGTCCCCAAACCAAGAACTGTCAATCAAAAATTCTCTATCAGAGTCCTCGGTTAAGTAGTCAGGAGCAAGGGATTTTGTTCAGACACACTGAAGCCAATGGAGCGTGCCACCATCAACCTGCTCTTCAGGTGCCACAGAAAATAAAGAGCCAGGTTGAATATCATCAGTGCAGATTCACTAAATGTGGACTGAAGACTTGGCCACTGAGCTGAAACCAGAAAGCACTGGAGAGAAAAGAAAAGGGAACAAACTAGAAGACATTGGCCCTAAAGACGTAGCTGAGAGCACAACCCCAGCAGAAAGGAAACAAGAAAAATGGAAAAGTGAGATGATAGCAAGCTTACAACTCTTTGTAACTCAAAAGAAACCATCACAAAACAAAGGCAACCCACAGAATGGGGAAAAACTGCTTGCATGCCACACATCCAACAAGAAACCAGCGATCCACTTAAAATATTGGGCAAAGAACCTCCACAGACACTTCTCTGAGGACCTTCAGATGACCTTTAGACACCTGGGGAGAGCGTTACACATCACTGCTTGTCAGAGAAGTGTATATCAAAACCACAGAGTTACGACCTCCCGCCTGTGAGAAAGACCCATATGAAAATGAAGGGACTTAAGTATGTTAGTGAGGTTGCAAGAAAGGGAACTCGCACCTGCTGTTGGTGGGAATGCAAGCTGACACAGACCCCAGGGAAAACAGTAAGAGATGTCAAGAAAACAAAAACGGAAATGCCTTGTGACCCCATACCATCACTAGGTATTTGCCCGAATAACATGGAAACTGGGATATGAAAAGATCTCTCCATACCCAGGTAGATGGCCATGCTCTCTACAGTTGCCAAATCATGGAACCAAACCAAGTGACCTTCCGCAGATGAGGGGAGGTAAGCTGAGAGCATGCGTGCAGTGGAATATTACACAGATGTGAAGAAAGGTCAGCTGGTGGCATTTGAGATGAAATGGGTGGACCTTGAGATAATTCTGTTGTGTGAAATCATTCACTCATCTGTGGAATATAAATACCCAAGAAAGCAATTACTGGAGAACATTAGATGAAATAAAAAGTTGCATTCAGTGAAAGGAGATAAGGTTATTAGAGGTTATAGGGGGAGTGGTGGAGCGGTGGGGAAGAGTGGCAGATGGGGTGGCAGATGGGGTGTGGGCATTTGATGAAGGGGGAAAAAAGGAAAAACATTGTTCTGAAATGGGGGGGGGGAGCTGTAAAAACAAAGACATTAGGCCCACAACAGGTGAGACAATTCTCTGGAGAAAAAAGAAAAAACATTTTTATTAAAGATCCAGAACTTCTTAGTGAAGTAACGTAAAAGAGCACACTCATCTTGCTCTGGTTTTTATTTATTAGTTGACTTAATAATAGAAATGTTTCCCCAAAGGTCCTAATTTTGAAAAGAACACGTATCAGGTGCCCATAATCTGTAAGAAGGCAGCAGGTGAAGCACTTAGCCGGGGCTTGGGATTTGATCAAAGTAATTCTACAGGAAGAATGGCATTATTTAATTAAATATTTCAGAAGATACACGCTTTCTTTCGTAAAAGACAGCCTCGGGGGTATTGCATATACAGCACAACCTCTTTTTCCAGCCACTAAGAACATTAGAGAGACTTTGCTAACGTAATAGTGACTGCTGCAGGATGAGTTCTTACAGAGCAAATGTAAATTATGACCAAATAGAAAATTAACACATCACCTCACTTTTATTTTTGCAGTTTGACTTTTACAATTTTGTAGCTCAGTGATTTGGGAAGTTACTATTAAAATTGCTGATACTATTACGAGAATATAATGCCTTTGTGCATTATAAAAAGATGCGCCCTAAGAGCATAGCCTGGTTCTTAGTGTTTGTAGTAATAATAGCATCATTCCCTGGTTTGCTTTCGCCTTTGTCTCAACATTCATGCAGGGAATTTTTGAGGGCAGAAATTGTTTGCAGTGGTCTGAGATTTGCTAAGATAGTACCTTACAAGTATCAGCTGGACTTCATGAGCAGATTATAGGGTAGTGTGGCCAGCTGCCCTCTGTTCTTTCTAAGGCGCCCTTCAGAGCTCGTCTTACCAAAAAATAAAAAAGCATTTGACAGTTTTTATCTAAAGGACGGATCTACACAGTACCTAGAATTGGTGGTTATCTTGAGTTTCAAGACAATGAGACTCAAAAGGTGATATACATGAACAGATGACACTACTCGGCTAGAAATTGAGAGGGTGCCGCTAAGTTTTGATTTTCTTCGTGTTATATAGAACATGGCTGATTTTCTGGGGTACATGAAGAAATACGAGTGTTGATGGCGGGGCGCTGGGACCATGCTCTCTCCCTCTGTCCCCTCTGCTGCTCAGATGGACTCTCTGGTAGCTAAGAGACCAAGCTTCAGGGAAATATAGTGAAAGGTAGTTACATTGCAAGTGGTAAGAGATTATAGTTTCCGCATCCCTGTGACAAGACGATTGATAGTTGGTGAAGCAGTAAAATAAAGCAAAGAAGTGGACTAGACCAAGAAACCTTCAGCTGACATTAAAAGATCCTTTCATTTGATAGAACACAATCACTAACTCCCTCTCCATGCAGTGACATTATTTGTCTATCTAGAGGTTTTAGTTAATTTTTGTGTCAAAAGGAAAGATGTTGCCCGTATTTTTGAAGAAATTAATATTATGACAACTCTTCTAAAAAAAAATAAATGGCTACAATGTTTTAAACATGCCGATTTCTTATAACACCATAAGTATCACAATGAATTTTATCAATAATGTTACAAATTATCTACTTTTGCCCAAACACAGATAAAAGTAGGTAATTATAATTTGGGAAAGAAGTGACATGACCAATATAGCCTGACTTTTAATGCCACATACATCATCATGTATATAGTGCCTCGGTGTTAATAAGCAGGTTAGAAACTACTGATTTTTTGTTTCCCTTTCAGCTGTTTATCTGTGTAAGAGAACCATGCAAAACAAGGCGAGACTGGAGCTAGCAGACTATGAAGCTGTGAGTATGCAGGACTTTCTGGCCATGCAGGTCATGCAAGGAGCAAGAGAGAGTCCTGTGAGCTGTCTCAGCACTCTTAACTATCTACACTCAGTGACTGTAAGGATCAGATTTCCAGGGATCAGACAATGTAATGACTTAATGATTCGCTGATTTGCTGGCTTCCTTTTATCATTCGCAATGGGAATAGGGAGATCCTAATTATATAACCGCAGAGTACAGGGAGAAGCACCTCTTATTTGCAAAAATGGACTAAAGTGGAATAAAACCTTTAAATGCATACTATAAATAGTGAAGGTACTCAAATAAAAACGCATTTGTAGTGGGAAAATAGTTTTTATGAAACCTTCAGCTTGGTCATCAGGATAAAATTAATTTGATGTCATTTGCTCAGACAGTTGCTTTATGAAACACTGTCTAGAAATGATCGTGTAGGTACCAACAGATCACATGACTGTCCGGAACTGGAAAGACTGAATCCGTGGTAGAAAGTACCTGCTTTTCTATTTCTGCATAAACTGAGCACAGGAAAATCCAAGGAGTCATTTTGGACTTTTTTTTCACGCAAGGCCATCTTAGAATTTTGGATTTTTAGTTGGATTCTCTAAAGGATTCATTGACATGAATATTTATGTTTGGTTTTCCTTCTCCTATGACTGTTAATAAGTTGCAGTGAGCATAACATCATTCAGGACCAGAGTGCAATTAGTACTTTAAAATACTATCCATGTTTTGTTTTGTTTTGAGCAAACGTGTGTGTGATGGGTAACCCTGGAAGGGAAGCATGACAGTGAGCCCCAATTTTGTATTTTTCAGGAGAGTCTGGCCAGGTTGCAGAGAGCCTTTGCCCGGAAGTGGGAGTTCATTTTTATGCAAGCAGAAGCACAAGCAAAGTGAGTCCTTGGGAGTCTTGGAAAATTCTTCAACTGTGGCTTTTTGTCCAGAGAGAAATACATTAACACTACTTATTATTTATTATCACTGTTGACAGAGTGGATAAAAAAAGAGACAAGGTTGAGAGGAAGATCCTTGATAGCCAGGAGAGAGCATTCTGGGATGTGCATAGACCTGTGGTAAGCAAGCACAGCGATGTCATCTCAAATTCGTAATCTTCAGCCTTCAAAAAGTGTGGCGTGCCCAGAGCAAGGGGGAGGGGAAGTTCTGGGAAAATACCTAGGTGAAAATATTTTTAAGCTTTCTTAATGATAGTAAACGTACCATGACTATTGCAAAGCACCAGTCCTTGATAAATGTGAAAGGAGTTTCCCCTTCAGGGAAAATGTTTCCACAGAGTCCAACTGACTGTGACTTTACCAGAACCAAATTATTTTGAGGGAAGACCAAATAACAGAACAAGCTCCCCTGCTACCAGCATTTCTGTCTCACCCAGCTGAGGAGAAAAACTGAGAACTTGGAAAGGTCACAGCTTAGAAAACACAAGCTCACCAAAGGCTTAAGATTTCTTTTCCTCCCCTACTCCTTGCCACCACAGAAACAAGGATTCTTAATAATAACCAGGGATTGCAACAGAAAGAGTTGTACGTTGCAGACCTGATTTAAAATATCAGGGGAAGTTAATGACCAGGAGAGAAGACTCAAAGAAAAAAAAAAAAGACTGAAAAATGTTAGCATCTTATTCTTACAACAGAGAGCAGTAAATATGATGTAATTTCTAGTCAGGCAAACACATACTAAGTGTCTATTAACCTCAGCTTCTTTAGCCAATCTGTCGTGTTCAGTCTGAAACAAAGCAAGTGCAGCAAAAGAAAATATACTTCTGTCTGTTTGAAGAGACGGTTCATGAGTCATGCTTGAACAATGCAGAGATGTTAACATTACAAGACCTTCAACTTAAAACAAGCATGACATGTGGGCTAATATGTCTAGTGGCATAAAGGGCCAACAAAAAAGAACAGTATTGTAAAATAAACCGAGGTACGGAAATCTGATAAATCAAAAGTGCATGATAAAACAAAAAACTGTTACGGAAATGAAGGGTGAGACCTTTGATGGCTTGATCAATAAGGCCAGTTATTTCCAAGAAAACAATCAGTGAACTTGAACAGATGTAAAAAAAAAAAAAAAAAGGAAATCTCCAACTAGAGCAACTAGAGAAGGAAGAAAAAAAGAAACGGAAGAAATACTTAAAATAACAATGACAGAGTTTGCAATACTTTCAATATTTCACTCCACTCTTTTGCTTTCATGGTTTCTGGAAATACTCATTGAGACAGCATAGTACTGATGACAGAATTCAGACAAATCAGTGAAATAGAGAGCCCAGAAATATGCCTTATTAGCATAGTCGGCTTATCACCGACTCAGAAGCAAAGACAATTCAATGGAGAAAGAATAGTTTGCCCAACAGATGGAATCGACTGTATATCCGAACATGAAAAAAGAATAAATATATGTAGAAACAGGCCTAATACCTTCAAAACAAGCCATTGTTCTAATGTAAAATGAAAAAAATGGAGCTGCAAGAAATGAGCCCATCAAATTGACATCAACTTGGTGGCGACGACTTGCAACCCCAAAAGCGTGATACATGAAATAAGTCACCGGCGTGTCATTAAAATTCAAATCTTTATTATGAAAAGACTGTCAAGAGATGATAAAAGATAGCCACAGACTAGATGGATAACATTGGGACAGTAACTGATAGTGAATTAGAATCAAATATGTATGAAGAATTATTAAAACTCGAAAATGAGAAACCACTTTAGAATGGACAAAAGTTCTGAACGGGATGTGGAAAAAAGATCAATATTATGTCATGAAAACAATGAGCTCACCAGAGAACAGATAAAAGTTACTCTATAAACTGCAAAATATTACTGAAAGAAGTTGAAATGAAATACAAAGATGAACATAGAAATACCTTCTATGTTCATAAATGTTTTAAACAGGCAATGGACAAAGGAACTCAGAAATAAAACACACATAGACAGACCACTGACTTATGACAAAGAAATGAAAAACACTCAATGGAGGAAGGAAAATCTCAAATAGGAAAAATAAACAACTACCTGCAAAAATTGCAACTCAATTGCTATCTCTACCCTATGTAAAAATTAATCCAAAAAACATGTTCAGGTCTTATGTTCTAGATTTTACATGATCTACATGAAAAGAGAGAGGCATGAAGCTCTTTGACAGACCAGAGCCTTTGTGGTCTTTGGCCAGTGGCAATAGGAATAGAAAAAGTAAACGTGGGGGATCATCCCACGGCTAACCCAGACTGACAACACACCAGGGTCCTGTTGCCTGCGACAGAGCCAGAGGACTCGTGAGCCATCAGAGGTCAGCAGAGACCACACCAGAGGGCCCCGAGGTGCTTCAAGCAGCGTTAAACAAGATGTAGGTGGAAACTCCCGGAGGCAGGCCAGGGCCTCAGTGACAAACAAGGGCTGTGAACTGGGCTGTCCTCCCACACGCCCGAGCCTGATTGTGCAGCACGCAGAGTGAGTGTGGAATGCTGAGAGTGGGTCAGCAGTGGGCACACACTAGCCAGCATTCCAAACAGCAACCGGCTCACCCAAGAACCTGAAGCATGCACTGAATCAGCAGCTTCCCGATCCGGCCTCCGGACTCCAGATAGAGAAAGGCTCAAAGCTACAGACTGGAAGAGTAATGCAGTTTTCACCAGCATCACTATAGATACATCACCAAAAAAAAAAAAGGAAATCTAGAACAGCAAAATATACAGAGAGATCTATACTAAAAAAATGGAACCTTGAAACCTGAAGGAAATATGTCAACACAAGGACAGAAAAACATTGAAGAATATAGGCACAAGACGAGGATGATTTCATCAGTTGCAGAGTTCAAGACTGTCATGAAACAAAAATTTTTAAATCAGAAAAACTGATCAAGACACAAAAAAACCTCAAAAAACCATATTAGTGATCTGAGAAATCAAGAATGTTGCAGGAATAAGACCAACATGACTAGTATACAACAGTGTCCTGTTAGGATGCTCAAATATAAAGTGAATTTTACTCGCACAAAATGAGGTCCATTCTTTATTTTACTCTCAAGAAAATTTTAGTTTTGCACATCACCAGCCATGAGTCTTTGTCATTAGTTATTACTCAATGGCTGCTCGCCCGTCGTTCAAACAGCACGACTGGTTTATGTCTACGGTTCACGTCTGTGGTCACAAACAGAATTTTCATGATTTAGATAAATATGTTCATCAGGGAAGTGAGATGCAGCTTAGCATCCGTAGTCTCATGCTTTTCAGGGAGCAGTGCACATTTCAATCCTCTTTGAGTGATCAGATGTAAAAACTAAATTATTTAGAAATTCTAAGTCTCCAAGAGGCTTTCCAGTGTACTTACAAGAATGGTTACAGTGAGGTGTTAAGAGACACCTGCCAGCCACCTCCTGTTACAACTTCCACACCATTTCCCAGCTGCTTTCCTTTACCTCTAAGAGGGACCCAGACAGGGTGGATGTTTCGTTAGCTTCTTCGATGCCCTTTCTATACTTGTTTATTTTTTTTAACTTGTTCATTATAAACTTAGCTTGGTGCTTCGGTTTGGTCTCTTCGACGCTCTTCAGTGCATCCGTGCTTTTACTTCATAGGTCTTGCTGATATTTGACAGGTCCACTTCTGTTTTTCAAATTAAAACGAGTGATCGCTGTAAGTGCTTTCCCAACTGCTTTCCTGAATGCTTTCGTCCATCTCACCTTGCTAGGGTTGGGTTTCCTTGCAAAGTTTATACAGCACTTGAATTTATAGACTCTGAACACCTTGCAGTTGTTGTGAAGGAACCCCATGTGAGGCTGGGAAGATGAGTCCCCCACCCCCACCCCAAGGGAAACAACAATGACTGTCCTGTGGGACGCGCCAGCATGTCCCCAGGGGTGTGGAGCAGGCACTGAATGAGTGAGATTCCTGAGCCACGTCAGCAAGTGTGCAGAAGTAGCTAGAGGGCTTATGGTCGCCCATGGACCCCGTGAGCCAGGGCTGCGTTGCAGTGCACCCACGGAGGTCTCCCCAGGTCTCCCCAGGACCCCATTCAGCACAACAATCAACCACACAGCCAGACCTCCTCCAAGAAAGGAACCAGCTGCAGTACCAACCACCTGGCAAGTGCCCAGAACTGGAGGGAAAGAAGGCCCACACAAAAAAATAGAAAATAGAAGCCCTGTCTAAAGCGAAGCCAAGCAAAGCCAATGCAAAATCAAACAATGGAGAAAAAGAAAATTACAAATTGTCAAAGTCCTCAGAGAAACAGTATCTCACAAAAGAAAACTATCCCCCCAAACCCAAGAGCACAGACATTGCAGAACTTTCTTCCGACTAGATATAGTTATCATTAATTCTTTTCAAAGTTGCCATAATCAAGAAATTCAAATAATTAGATCAATATAAAGAAAATTCAGGGGAAAAGATCAGAGATGAGCAAGAAAAGGAAAAAGAAGCCACGGAGCCACAAAGAAAATATCAAGATGTAAACTTTAAAATAAATGGAACTGTAGGATGTGAAATGATTGATGAATAAGGTTAAAATGATGGAAATCTTATGAAAATGGGACAGACCACATAGAAGAATGTATCAGTCATCTCAAAGATGCAGATATAAAAATAACCAAGAGAGATACAGGGAAAAAAGAATGAAGAAAAAAATTAAAGAATTATCTAACAATGTGAGGAAAGGAAAAGTAAGAGTCAGAGAAATCCAGGGAAAGGGAGAGACAAAGAAGCTGGAAAACTATTTCAGGAAATTATCAAAGAAACTGAGGGGACATCTCTCCATTTCTTTTTCCTCATCTTCTATTTCGCTGGACAATGCCTTCCAGCTCCCACTGTACATGTTTTTGCCTCCGTCGTTCAGTTTATTTCCAGATTTTACTCCTTTTTTCGATACAATGGTAAAGGATTTTTTGCTTGATTTTTTTTTCTCTCATCATTGTTTTCACATTTTTTCCCAAAACTCATTTGAAAGCTAGGCTTCAATAAACATACCCTGTGTAATGTAATAACTTCAATCATCTGTTAGGTAATTCAGCCACTTTTAGGGAAGCGATTACATTCCTACTCTTCTGACAGTTGCCACTGTCCCTCTGCAAGACTGTTTTTGGGTAGGACTTTGGGATATAAAGTTTTTGCTCTTTTTGATTTCATGTTGTTGGGAGTAAGGGCCAGTTATCCAAGGGTTGCGTCTACCTCCTTGCTGATTTTTGCTTTAGACAAACGGTCGTTCCAGTACTGTTACCGTGGGGTATAATGTCATCTTCTGTCACTCGTGTGAGACTTCTGTTCCAGACATTTGCTCTAAGCAGAAACTGCTCACACATAACATTTTCCCCCAACCTCAGACTTTCATATTCCTTTTAGTCTTCATGTTTTATGCTACTGATTTATGCTCATGATTTATGCTACTAGGACACAGATTCTGGGAACCTTGTCTGTCACAGGTAAGTCTTAAGAAACAGTGTCTTGGGCTCATTATTTTTGCCAAGCCCTGTTTGTGAGGATTTGTTTCGGGTGTAGTGACAGAGGGTAGACGCCTATTGACAGCTCACTGACTCATGTCTGAGCATTCCTGTCTTCCCCTCCACTTTCTTTGGGATTTGTCCCCCGGAGGAGAAAAATGAAAAATGAGGGGTCTGCTGAGCTCTGCCCTTTTTACCTTTCTTTCTCTTTTGCCTCAGATCATGGAGACTTCTCCTTTCTGTTTATTTCCACACTTTAACTATATAGGAGAAAATCTCTGGTGTAGCTGGCCATACTTGACCCTTGATATATCTATAATCACTTAAATAATTTCAATTTTATTGGATTTAGATTTAAAGGTGGACAATTGTAAGAGAATGAAAATCAGAGAGGAAATTAAAACATGTTTCTTTAATATTTTCAAAATAAATTCTTAGTTACATTTAGGTCAATGGTGGCGAATGTCGGCTGCATCACTGGAGGCCTTCCAAAAACATAAATATCTAGACCAACCAAATAAAAATTAAATCCGATTATTAGATTTGTTTGGAGAGCTCGAGTGAGTTGTTCAGGGGCAGTTAGAAAGTTGGCCCCAGTCAAGGGTGCTTTCTTCCTGCACTGTCAAGAGGTATACTGATATGCAAACCAAATCCATTATTTAATGACTATAGTACAGTAAATATCTCTAGTATTTTTATATGTGACCTATGTAGAAAAATAATTTAAAAAATACTTTCTGCATACAGTGGATGTCCCTTAAGGAAATTCCCCAGTCTTCTCACTATTCAAAGAGGACTTGGCTGTGCTGATGCCTTTTTTTTTTTTTTTTTTGCCTTCTGCCCCAACTTCACAAAGGCTTTTTTCCAAATTCATAATTTATCTGGAATTACTTTTAAAGATAATATGTTAAGATTTGTTGATTTTGAAATCTGTGGGGAAAATTTAAAAAGGTGAGCAGAGACGGACAGAGTGGTGCTATTTACTACACCAGAGACGCTCCTTCCTCTGCCAAAACTTCAAAGTTAAGGAAACAAGTCACATATGTTCTGACAGCTTCTGAGACATTTCTAACATATTAGAATCTTTTAAGCTTTAAGGCCCATATATTTTTTATCTCTTTTCTTTTCTGCTTGATGTTATTTTTCCTGCATTTCCCCTTTATCCCCCTCCCTCCTCTTTCTCCTCCCTGTCTCCTTTCTCCCTGCTCCTCCTCTTGTTTTCTCTCCCCACTCCCCCATTCGCTATTCTCCTCCAAGTTATAAATACAAGCGATATCTTACAACTCCTTGTCTTGTTGCCACATAAAAGTAAATACAGCAAAGTAAAACTCCCGAGGTTTGCAAAGAACCTCAAGCAGGCTGTTTACACTTTTCTAATTGCCTCTGTTTAAAAGGGGTTCACCTTCTTAAGGGAAAAGAAAAAGTCGGGGTTTCTGAGAAGAGCGTGGTTTATTGATTACCAGTTTCTTTCCTTCACCTTCCTCGTTTTAACCACTGCCTGAGTGCACACTCTGTCTATGGAAAACAGATACTCCCGGTAACATTATTTAATGAATCATTGTAAAAAATATTGACTCTGGAATTTGAGTTGATTCAACTGATTTGTAGTTTTCAAACTTGAGAAGCAAGCAGCCACTCAGTCACAGTGTCAGCTCACAAAGAGAAAGCACACTCGAGAGGTGTTGCTTACAGCGACCAGCGAGGGCCAGGCCGCATCTGTCTTGCCATCCTGCACTCAGTCTTGCTTAGGAGCTACTAATATCAACACCAGTGCTCACATACAAAGCCCATTAGTTTATTTTTCCCGTTTCCCTGGGAGTTGTCCAAGAATGGTTAAACATAGGAGTCAACAGACTGTTTTATGTTTGATTACTAGCCAAAGCTGATAGAAGTAGCTGTGGTGGTTTAGAAAGATGTGCTAAGGTTGGAGCGTGGATCATTAATATACTGATCAGAACTTCATATCCAAAGACACCGCTGACTTTTTTACCTTTCATTTCCAGCCTGGATGTGTAAATACCACCGAAGTGGACATTAAGAAGTCATCCAGGATGAGAAACCCACACAAAACACGGAAGGTAAGAAATCAATATTTGTTGTTCTTATCTTGGTGATGAGTTGAACTGTTGAGAGGATTTTGCTCAAAAATTTTTTCTCAAAATCCCTATTTCACATGGTAGACTCTGCCATCTTCGACCTGCTCCTCTCTGTTGCTGGATTAGAAGAAAATGTGGGAATTCGAGTCTAGTTTTCTGTCATTCCCTGTCTCTTCAGGAAATAACCCCATCCTAGTTCTTGAGCATACTGAAGTCAGAGGCAGGCACTGTGTGTGTTAGGACTGGCTCGTACAAGATGAAAAATGTATGCTGAGGACACTCTCCTTCACAGAGGAAAGCTGTCCACAGAAGATGAGGAAAGGTACATGGAGATGAGCTGAGAAATGTGATACTACTGAGAGAAGAGCAGTTTTAGAGAAGAGTTTTGAAAAAAGGTCTTCGTCAAGATGTTCCATTGCAGATGTTCCATGAGAACCTTTTTCAACACTTTGTGACAGAATCACAAGCCGTTATATTTAGTATTTATGTGAAAAGAAATAATAAGACAAGGCTACCCTGAATTAAGGACATTTTAAATAATCATTTGAAAACACCTAGCAGTAGTATAACTGAATTCCAGAATTTGTGTTGCCTGCCACCACCAAATACCAAGAACACAGATAGGAACTGAGTCTTTAAGCTCTACTTTATGCCAAAGGCAGGCCATTCGGCGGAGATGGGGGTCAACAACCTAAGGAAGCCAACCAAATGTGTCACTGCAAACGGACTGTTTATAGTGAGTTGAGCAAAGTCAGCTGTTCATCAGTGGTCAGGCCCCACAACTTGTTACTGCTCTTCTGGGCCTCCAGATTCAAGCACATCCCGTCTGCTGAACCAGGTCCTCTGATGGTACTGCTTCCGGCACTACTCCAGGCGTGTGCTGGCCTATAAAACCAACTCAGAGCAGACAAGCTCTAAGAAGGGTGTGTACATGCAGATTTCTCACAGTGCCATGCGCAGCGTCCTCCCCAGTTCCCAGACGCCGTTAGCGACCATCCCTAGAGCTACAGGGCCTGCTTCAGGTCAGAGATGGTGCACTGCCTTCACGCAAGCACCTGTGTGGTGTTCACAGCATGCTCCTGGTGCGGGGCCCTCTGGCGTAGGCCAGTGCATGCAGCAGGCAGTTACATCAAACAAAACGAAAAAGCAAAATATGCCAAAGCTGTCCACAGGCCCACAATGCTCAGGAACAAAGGAGTTCAGGTAGACAGAGATCAAAGGCAAAAAATCCTTCCACTTTTTGTTTTTTTATTTGCAACATGAATAATCTGAGCTTTCTGTTCAGTGAATTTGGCAATGTCAGGTTCAAACAACACAATTCTTTAAATTACTCAAGCCCATGATTGTGCCTCAGTGACCCCGGCTCTCTGGGACAGCTCGCCTGGCCTGGCCTGAGCTGAGACGTGTGTTGGGGGCTCTGGCCACTGCGCACAACGGGGTTCTGTCGGTACATTCAGGTGCCCCCCCATAGCGGATCGCAGAAACAGCTCGCGGAGTCATCTGCTGTTCTCCTCAACTGTGAGTTCTCACTGCAAGTTAGTGGAAGAAAATAACCTTTTCTTTCTCACTTTCTGATTTATGTGGACCATTCGGGCATCAAAGCTGTGATGCTCCCAAGGTGGCTACGCCCCGCCCCACCCCGCCCATGCTGTTGTGTAGATGAGAGGGCAGGACAGCACAGACAGAATCCCCCCCAGCAACTGCATAGGCCAGAACTGCAACAGCGCTACGGGCCGTGTCGTTCCCCACAGCCAGAACCAAACGACTGATCGTCCCTCCTGAAACAAGATCAGTGTTTGGTAGGTGAGGTAGTTGCCAATATTAAAGCAAATTTCCTCTGACAACTGACCCCCACAGATAGATAGGAATGAAAGTCAACGTGCTTCACCAAAGTCTGGAACAGGTATAATTCTGTAGGCTTTGAGGAATATGTCCACCCCCACAAGGCATAATGTCAAGTTTTGCTCACATAGATCCTCCCCACAAGGCAAAATCAGGGGGAGTCAGAAAAGTTTGCATCAGGTACACCAGCGTCTTTATCCTATCTGCCTGGGTGATGTTTCCCTGAGGCACTAACACCGACTTAGGAACACAAACACCGTGTTACTGTCTTTTAAAGTCACTTTTAAATCTGACAGTCCAGCACTCCTCCAGATGGGTCCCAGGTTGGAAAATTAACTTAGGGCAGACAGAACGCAGGAAATAGGCGTGTGAGCAGCTTTCTCACTAGACGTCCGGGATGCACTAGCCTCCTCCCACCCGGCTAGCAGCAACTACACATTTTTCAAGTAGTGCCTATTGGCACAGAAAGTCCAATTGCTTTATTTGGTGGATAATCTGTTTAATATTTATTGGATGATGGTATCTACAAAAAGTGTTGGTCTATGCAATAGGACAACTCAAAGGCTATTAATCAAGTCAAAACACCCTGATTTAGAAGTGCTTTGCTATTAAAATGGGCCACAAGTACATAATTGGATTTCCGGCACTGCAAATATTAAGATTTTTCTCTAACACCATAAGTGCCATTTTTCTGCAATCTTTATAGTTATTTTTAACCTTGACCAAAAAGATATGGTTAAAATTGGTGGCTGTCTTGTTCTGTAAGCTATTTTCTTCTTAAGAATTTCAAGTAAGCAAGCCATGGAAAATTCAAAACTTAGAGGTTCTTTTTTCCTTATCAAAAATTAATATATAGGGATATATTTTTATTGGGATTATAGGGCTCAAGTGAAAACAAATCAGGAACAAGAAACATATTTGAATCTAGTGCTACTGATAATCTGTAATCAACCTGAAAGTTGACTCAGTTAAGCATTTGGATTTACCCTCTTGATTGCAAAAGTTTTTCCCCCAACCTGTAGGCAATTTCATGATTCCCTCAAGCTTCTTTGTCATGTGCAATGAAAAAATACTTAGTAGAACCCATAGGATTCTTTAAAGTATTAGTACTTTTACCTTAGAGGAAAAGTTATCTGGCCTCTCCCTTGAGTTGACTTGTTAAGATGTCTCATTCTCAACAGGGCATACTCTTGTACCATTAAGACCCCAGATCTTACTTATAAGCAATGGATCTCAAGCATGCATGCACATATCTATATCTATAGATAGACAGATAGATAGATAGATCCTAAATTGTAGGGATACTCATTTATTTTTTCATTGAATACTTAGGAATCAAAATTAGAAAGATATGCGAAAACTTCAGGGTTACTGATGTTTGTGATGATGCCCAGTAGACCAAATGGCAAGTCCAGTGTTGTGAGGTAAATAACCCAATGTTGAAATGGGAAAATAGGAACTAGCGTGTTCTTGATTGCAGCCTTACAGACCAAGCCAGCAATGGAATTCTTAACCTAGTGTCTTTCCTCAGCATTTCAATTTTTCCCAGATAAAAACATGGTTATATTTTATTTTCTTTTGGCTCATTGTATTTCATATAACTGCTTGATTCTGGAATTAGTGTGTCCTAAATGTTTTATATCATCATTCCCCAACTTAGTACCTGCTGTTCTTGTCTAAATTTTATTATCACATATACCATGTTCTTGTATATAATCAATTATTCTCTAGTAATCTTATAACATTTTTAGAGCGGTGTTTTATTTTACATTCATATGTTTATAATATCAGTGCCTTTTGAATTTTGATAAAACTGTAATCAAATAACAAAGCTTGGATCTACATTATTGAATATATAACAAATGCCGACCTTTAGAAAATCTGACTACCAATGGTCTTTTATACTAACCAACTGTTTTTATTTTAATATAGTCTGTCTATGGTTTGCAAAATGACATTAGAGGTCACAGTCCTACTCACACACCCACACCAGAAAGTAAACCTCCAACAGAAGATGAGTTACAGCAACAGGTGGGTCAATTTAAAAAATGAACTTTCAGTGGTGTAGAGAGTAACAGTCATGAAGACCAGATGGTGAATATTCACAGTGAGAATTTTAAAAGATAATTTATGGCTGGCTATTTCATATAGAAGATATTCATTTAAAGCACAATGGCGTTTAATCTTGAAATATGTAATCACTTGAATGAATATTAGTAGCATCAACTGAGAGATGCAGCTCTCAAAACTCTTTGTTGTTTAATTCCTGAAAATATCTATCCTCAAGCACTTTTTAAAAGTCATGTATATTGATTCATCTGTGCCTCCATTATCAAGAGTTGTCTTTAAGAATGAGAAACAAGTGGTGAGTGGTGAGGGTCATTGAGTCATGTGTTTTTCAGGTTCACATGACGTGATCTTCACTTGTCTTTACAGTATGGATCACAGTAAACCCTCCTGAGGATTTTCCTTACCAACGATAGTGTACTTTTTCACCACTTGATCATTAGTATTAACTCCATGTAACTCTAGTGTTTGCTATGTCAAATAATATTTAAATCTTGATTAAGATAGAGGGCTTTCCCAACCTTTTGACTCTTTCTTGATAATATTTTGTTGTAATGCTGTTATAATGGTGTCATAACAAACATTTCTAGCTTATGATCACCATAAGGATAAGTAACTCAGAGTTTTAAATTGAATTTTCCATGAGCTCCTACCCATGTGAGCCTTTGAAATTCAAATTTAATACCACTTTTCCTCAAAACGCTTACCGATGCTTTGTTAGTATTAGGACGTAGGACTAATTTTGAAATGATAATAGCATTACATTTATTTTCTGAATTTAATATTTGAAGGAAATTTTCTCATTTGGTTATACCTCTTTACCATTGAAAAAATTAAGTTGCGCTGTGTTACTGCTTTTCCAAAATTTATATAATATTCACAGTTTTTATTTTTCTGTTAATGCTTTTATTTATTTTTGTTGAGGTAACACTTAGCTTACGATGGTCAAAGTATCCCCCCGCCCGTTAAGTGCTCTTACCACACCATAGCAACACCACAGTCCTCCACCAGAGCCATTTTGATCCCTCACACTGTAGCTTCTCCTCTCCACACTCCTCCCTTTCCCTTGGCCTCAGTTCTGTAGATAGATTTTGGGTTTTTTTTAATTGGTTTTATCTCTGTATTCCAATTAGAAGTGACAGGGTCTAGTATTTGCTGTCCTTATTTTACTTAGCATAATTCCCTCCCTCCATGCATGTTGTCTCAAATGGAAAAAGCGTCTTTTTCATACATATGTATATTTATTATACATTTATGTAACAACATCTATTTATAGTCCACATCTTCCCAATGCATCTGCCTTTGGGCCTTAGGTTATTTCCATAACCTGGAGCAGCTAAGCTATGGAAATAACCTATGTGAATAGTACTGCAGTGAACGCAAGAAAGCACACACCCCTTTCACTTCAGTATTTTTGTGTCTTCAGATAGTAGAAACTTCTAGTATTCTGAAAAACCTCCAGTCTGCCTTCCACAGGGCTGGCCGGTCTGCATTCCCACCTGCAGTGTCAGGGCTCCTCTCTCTCTCCATCCTCGCCAACGCTCGTTTCTGGTCTTTTTGATCTGGGCCCTTCTCACTGGTGTGAGTTGGTATCTCATTGTGGTTTTGGTTCACACATTCCGTGAGGGCAAGGGAGGTGAGCATTTTTCATTGCCTGCTGATCATCTATGTTTTCTTTGGAGAAGTCCCTATTTAGATATTCTCGTTTTATGAAATGACTAGTAATTTTTTTCTTGTGAGTTACATGAGTTCTTTGTAAATCTTTTTAACTCTTTCAGGTTGCTCTGGTTTCATTTTTGTGCAGAATTTGACACTTTACTGAGTTAGCATATGTATTCTCTTTTAGAATCCTAATCCATTGGAATTTACAGTAAAATTGTGATAATGTCATTATCTATGTAACTATTTCTTTAAATTTCTTTTCAGATAAAATATTGGCAAATACAGTTAGATAGACATCGGTTAAAAATGTCAAAAGTTGCGGATAGGTAGGTATTTCAATATGTTCACGTAAATTTTTAAAAAAATCATTAGAATGGTAAAATTGTGAGGAGGGTAGGGATCAGGATTTAGAATCTTTAAGAAATGTTATTTCCTTCCCTGTAGCCACATAACATGTGGCCATAGACCTAAACTTATAATTTAAATGGCAGAATGTCACTGTTGTTTAAACATATAGAAATCTAATTATGTACAGTGAAGTAGGACAGCACCAGTTTCAAGGTGCTGGATTGTTTTCCTTCCTGCTAGAGGAAATGAAACTTTCAATTTCCTAGGTTGGCATTTGTCGCCTTTCTGAAAATTCATCTTAACCTTTACACCATTCCATTCGTGACTGTAGAAGCTGAATTAAACCCAGAACTAGATACTTTGCTTTTGTTTGTTTAAATCTATTTTAATGGCATTCACGGTCCTCACTTTGGGGCACTGTAAAGCCTCTTTCCTGTGCCCAGCCCTTTTTTAGCATACATATAAACTTTTTCCACTTTATTTCATTTTAATGGAAAGATTTTGACTCATATGTCTTAGGAATGGAGAGACGTGTATTTCTTTATCTCCCATGAAGCACAAGAGCTTGATGCACCTAAGTTATTGAAATGTTAACTCTGTTACTGGGTTTCACTCTAAGCAAGCAAGGATCTTGGTCAGACATTTTTACTGTGTACCTTACTTTAAAGAAGATAAAGATGTTTTTCTTTTCTCTCTTTCTAGTCTGTTAGGTTACACAGAACAGTATTTAGAGTATGACCCATTTCTTGTACCCCTTGACCCTTCTAATCCATGGCTGTCTGATGATACTACTTTCTGGGAGCTTGAAGCAAGGTAGGTAACATTTGCTATATTTATTTGAGTGTAATAGGAAAAATTCTATAGCTAATTAATCATAAAACTACTTTTATGCTGTATTTGTTAGTCTAGACTGAAAGTTCTTTTTCAAGTTTTTAAATCTTGTAATTTGCATTTCTACTAAGACTCATCTCTAAAAAACCAGCACATAAAGAGAAGTGTTTTAAGGTAGCTAAGTTGATTTCTTGATACTTATGTCATTGTTTTAGTTTCTTTGAAAACCCACTAGTATCTATGTATTCAAATAAGCAAATATGGAATTTAGCATTTATTTTAAGTCCAACATAGGGACATCTCAATAACTAACTGTAAAACAAAGCAAACTTACCATAAATGTTGTAGGAGGCTGACTTCTTAAGAAAGTTTAGCATAATTAGGACTCCCTGGTTTCTTTTATTATATTAGCAGTCTTGAAAAATGTCATGAAAAGATCATGACCTATCACTTTACAAGTGAGGTTATAGTACCATGCAGTGTTACTCTAGATGGTATTTTATAGACTTGTTTCTCTTGTATCCATCTAGTGGTCTTTAGACACTCAAGAGTTCTTTAGAACTTTTCCTTGCTAAATAAAGTCCTGGCACCCCCAAATTGTTATGATTCCAGAATTTGGCCACACATTGAACTAACAGTAGAGTCATAAGCTAGGGCCTGGGCTCCTCAGTCCCCAGTACACGAGATCACCAGGAGACAGTACTGTGCTCTATGTTGTGTTAGAATATCTGGTATAGTGTCCCCTGTTAACTGTCTGAAATTGGCCAGCTCTATAAGCCTTTTTCCATAAAATGATGATTATAATAGGACTTACCTTTAAAACTTGCTGGAAAAAAAATTATTTGAAACACATAGCACTTTAAGCAGTTTTTAATGTCTAATTTATTTCTCAATATAATTTCATGTCAAGCCATTCATCAGATATTTTTATTAAAGATAAATTTAAAATGCAAGTTTCAAGGCATATATGATTTTGAAGAGAGATGTAATGGCTTATCTTAGAAGGAATACATTTGGCATTGTTTTACCTTTTATAGCAAAGAACCAAGTCAGCAGAGGGTAAAACGATGGGGCTTTGGCATGGATGAAGCACTAAAAGATCCTGTTGGGAGAGAACAGTTCCTTAAATTTCTAGAGTCAGAATTCAGCTCAGAAAACTTAAGGTAAGACAACTGCTTGCAATACATCTGGTTTTCTTTGCACTTGAATGGCCAGTTACAAAAATGATAATGATACGATCCTGTTAATTAATGGAAGGCTAAAAACCTTGCCCTATATTATCAATTCACTGCTTCTTGAGCTTTTAACTATATAATACTCAAACATTGACTTTGACTCCATAAAGAGGTAAAGATACAGTCATATTTGGTGAAGGGAGAATGACCAATTTAGGCGGATAATTAATGTTATCTATGTATCAATATTGGTCTTCTTTGCATATGGCTTCTCCAGTGAAGTCTAGAAAATGACTGGGTGTCTATCAACTACATGAGGCCACTTTGTTTATATATTTCAATAAATGTTCAGGGTAGCTGAGAGGAACATTGCCTTTCAATTGTTTAAAATCACTGAAGTATAAGGTTTTACAACAGAAATCTATTTTTCTATGTCCTCTTTCGTGCAAATACCCTATTTTTCTCAAAACTTATACAGCCCTGTACAAATTTCATTTATGGAAAGGAGTCATTGAAACTAACCAATACCAAACCATTTGGAAATAC